CCACCAGGACTGGGGACACGCTGGTGACCCACGTGGGGCTGTCACCTGCCTTTTGTCCCCTGGCATCCCCCCTGGCATGGACACCCCTCCCTGACCCCAGGGCTGGGTGTATCTGTGCCCAAGGAGCCCCGAGCAGGTGCTGGGGTGGCGGGAGGTCTCTGGGAGCCTCTGTGGTGGGGAGCCGGGTTATGATAACTCTGGGCAGGGACATTCTCACAGCGCTGGACACAGCCTGACCCTGCGGCTCCCTCCCCCCATCCCAGCCCGCCCGAGCTCCCTGGGCAGGGCTCTGCTCCCATGGGTGCTGCCCCTGCGGCCAGGGGGCTGCTGCTGGGGCAGCCCTGAGATCCCCCTGCTGCTGGGAGCTGAGGTCCCAGGGTCCCCTAGGATGTCCCAGGGACCCTTAGGGTATTCCTGTGTCCCTTAGGATGTCCCAGTGTCCCTTAGGGTGTTTCTGTGTCCCTTAGGGTGTTCCTGTGTCCCCCAGGATGTCCCAGTGTCCCTTAGGGTGTCCCAGTGTCCCCTAGGATGTTCCTGTGCTCCTTAGGGTGTTCCTGTGTCCCCTAGGATGTCCCAGTGCCCCTTAGGATGTCCCAGTGTCCCCTAGGATGTCCCTGTGTCCCTTAGGGTGTCCCAGTGCCCCTTAGGGTGTTCCTGTGCCCCTTAGGATGTTCCTGTGTCCCCCAGGATGTTCCCGTGTCCCCATGGATGTTCCTGTGGCCCCGTGTGGAGGGATGGAGGAGGGGAAGTGGGGGATTTGCTGCGGGATGAAGGCTCCAGCCTCATCAGGACATCCTGATTTCCCCCTGCTGGCAGCGGGCTGGGGGGAAGTGCCTTCCAAGCCACATTCCTCCACTCCTGAAGGAACCGTCTGGGGACCTTCCCACGGGGATTTCCAGCCTGGGCACACACGCTGCTGCTTGGATTGTGCTGGTGGGATCCTGGCTCAGCTGCAGCACCAGGAGACTGCGGGACAGCATCCTGGCCTGGCCCTGCAGTGAATCACAGGGAAGGAACTGATTAAGACCTTGCAACACTTTCGTGCTGGAAATAACTTTCTCCAGAGAGGCAGCCCGAGGCTGGCTCTAGGATGCAGCTGGAGGGATTGGATATGCCACAGGTTTTAGCCCTGCTTTGGGGCTGGTTGGCTGGACAAAGCTCCCCGAAATGAGGGGTTGGTTGGGATGTGCTCTCACTCCCATGGGGGGTGGGAAGAGAGGGAATTGAGGTTGGGGGATGCTCCAGCCTTGGCCATGGTGGAGATGTGGCTGCATGGGGGGTGGTGCTGGTGTGTGCTCCAGACCCGGTGGAACAGGGACCATCCAGCCCTGCATCCTTCTGTGCTGGGGCCAGCAGACGTGGGCACCCTGGGGTGCCCAGGGAGCCCCACAGCCTCCTGCCACCTTTCCCCCTTGGCTGACAGTGCCTCTGGGGGAAGAGAGGCAACTCCTGCACAGCACCAGCGTGGTGACAGTGCCATTGGTCCCAGTTTGCAACTGGGAGAGGGACAGCCACCCTAAATTTTGCCTCCCCAGTTTTTCTGGCTACGGTGTGCACACGGAGCTGCTGCCACCTCTGCCACCTCTGCCACCAGCCCCATTTCTGCCCCGTGACTCAGGGATTTCGGCAGGTTTGGGAAGGGAGGAGGGGCAAAAGCCACTTCCCTGCCAAAACAAAAAGAGGCGGACGCTGCTCTCGCCCTCTGTCAGGCATGAGGCAGATTAATATTAACCCGTCCCTCCATCCTGCTGTCCCTCTGTCCTGCTCTCCTTCTGCCCCTGTCCTGCTGCCCCACAGCTTGTCCCATGACCCAGCATATGACACTTTTCCTGTCCCTTAAAGCAGAGGGCAATGAGTGTGCGGGACATGAGCAGCCCGTGGTGTGAAAGGGCCTCATGTGCTGCCACGGGGTCCCCGTGAGTCACCCCTGGTGCTGGCGTCACCCACTGTCCCCTGGTGTGCACCCCGGTGTCCTCCCTCCGCGGGGGCTGTGAGGCTCCCAGAATAGCTTCTGATAAAAAATGTGGGTAATGGCTCAGTGTTTTGGGGAGAAAAGGGTTATTTTGGGAGGACGGCTGATTTCTAAACCTGATTTCTACTCCTTCCCCAGCCTGTCACCCTCAGCACCCTCAGATGTTTATCTGCTGCTGTTGCTAAGGGACACTGAGGGTGACAAGACCTGGGGCACCCATGTGCTGGTGCAAATCTGACACTGTCTTGGGGCTGTCACTGCTGTCCCCAACTCCAGCTGCTTCCCAGCTCTTCCCCATCCCCTCCACCAGATCACTGAGCTCAGCCCTCCACTACTGGGATCAGCTCTCAGCTCCAAGAAAACCCCTCAGCAGCTTCTGCAAGCCCAGCAGGGTTTCCGGCCCTGGGGCGCAGATCCCGCTGGCCCCTCGGAAGCTCGGATGTGGTGGCTGTCACCCACATTTGGCCCCGTTGTCACCATCCCCTCTTGCAGCCACATGCCAGTGTTTGTGGAGCAGTTTGCTTTCGGTTTCCTGTCAGAATGGAGTGCTTGGCACTGCCATGGATCACCTCATGGCCACTAATCACTTCCAGTCCTCTGGAGAACAAACAGGCAGCAAAGAGGAAAATCCCACATTGCATGGCTCTGCTGGCCCTGGATCCAGCCCCTCACAGACCCCTGTGCATGGATCTACCTGCACCTGTGCTAATGGATCTGCTTGTGCACATGGGGACCCATCTGAGCACAAATGGACCATCCATGCACACGGGGATCCATCCATGTACACAGGGATCCATCCATGCACACGTGGATCCATCCATGCACATGTGGATCCATCCATGTACACGTGGATCCATCCATGTACACGTGGATCCATCCATGCACATGTGGATCCATCCATGTACACCTGGATCCATCCATGCACATGTGGATCCATCCATGCACATGTGGATCCATCCATGCACACGTGGATCCATCCATGCACACGTGGATCCATCCATGCACACGTGGATCCATCCATGCACACGTGGATCCATCCATGTACACGTGGATCCATCCATGCACATGTGGATCCATCCATGCACATGTGGATCCATCCATGCACATGTGGATCCATCCATGCACACATGGATCCATCCATGCACACGTGGATCCATCCATGTACACGTGGACCCATCCATGCACACGTGGATCCATCCATGTACACATGGATCCATCCATGCACACGTGGATCCATCCATCCATGCACATGTGGATCCATCCATGCACACGTGGATCCATCCATGCACACGTGGATCCATCCATGTACATGTGGATCCATCCATGCACACGTGGATCCATCCATGCACATGTGGATCCATCCATGCACACGTGGATCCATCCATGTACACCTGGATCCATCCATGCACATGTGGATCCATCCATGTACACCTGGATCCATCCATGCACATGTGGATCCATCCATGCACATGGGGATCCATCCATGCACATGTGGATCCATCCATGTACACCTGGATCCAACCATGCACATGTGGATCCATCCATGCACATGTGGATCCATCCATGCACACATGGATCCATCCATGCACATGTGGATCCATCCATGTACACGTGGATCTGTCCGTGCAAACATGGATCTCTCCATGCATGTGTGGATGCCACCGGATGTGTCTATGCTCATGTGGACCCGTCCATGCACATGGATTTGTCCATGCCCATGCAGATCTATCATGCACATGTATGCAGACATCTGTCCATGCATGTCCCTACAAATGCATCTGCCTGTGCACACGTGGGCTGATCAATGCTCACGGATCTGTCCATGCACACCTGTGCTGATGCATCCATCCCTGCATGCCCTGATGGGTGTCCATCATACGTGTGTGTGTGTGTGTGTGTGTGTGTGTGTGTGCGCACCCAGGGATGAACAAGCACACACGTGCAAGGCCCGCAGCTCTGTGTGTGCTCTGAGGGGTGTCCCTGCACATCCAGGGGGGCTGTGTTTATATTCACACGGATAAAAGTGCCCGGGGGTGACCATACACACACACGGGGGTGTGTGAGCACATGTGCACGTTCCGAGGGGTCCCGGTGTGTGCAGCTGTGTGTGTGCATACACACGTGTGCCAGGCTCAGGGCTGTGCGTGTGCCCGTGGCTGCCGGTGCCCGGGGTGCCCGTGGCCATGCAGGGCTGGTGTCTGTCCCTGGCGCATCCGTGCAGAGCCCAGGTGAGCGCACACGCGTGTGTTTGCGATAACGGGTGCTGTTATGGCAATAACGATAACCGAGCCGTGCCGAGCCGGTCCAATCTCGGGAAAGCCGAGCCGAGCGGTTCCAGCCCGACCCGAACGGCGCCGATTCGAACCCAGCGGCGGCGAGCCCAGCGGGCTGAAGGGCCCGAGCGGTTCCGCCGGGAGCTGCGCGGTTCTGCTCGGTGCCCACGGGAGCCAGCAGTGCCGCCGGTGCCCTGCCGGTGCTGGCCCGGGCCGGGCCCCGCGGGGCTGGCTGCCCGCCAGGGCTTTCTCATAAACCACATGCTGCCGCGGCGCTATAAAGGGGAGCGCGGCCGCGGCGGCGGCTCAGCCCGGCCCCGCTCGGCCCCGCCGCCGCTGCCGCCTCGCCCGCTCCGCCCGGCCCCGGTCCCACGGCAGCCCCCATGCCCCGCCTCGGAGCCAAGGTACGGCGGCCCCTCCCGCTCCCCGCGGCCGCGGAGACCCTCCCCAGCCTGGGCCCGCCGCCACCTGTGCGGAGCCCCCGCGGGAGCGGCGGCCCCGCGTGTCCCCGTGCCCCGCGTGTCCCCGTGCCCCGCGGTGGGTCCCCTCCCCCGGGGGTCCCGGCTCCCGGCGGGCGATGCTCCAGCCCCGCCTCGCTTGGCGGGGGCAGCCCCGGACCCGCGGGGTGAAGCCGCGGCTCCGGCCCCGGGTCCCGGCTCCCGGGTCCCGGTTCCCGCCTCCAGCCCCGTCAGGATTCCCGAACCGAGCGTGGGGAGGCCCCGGCCGGTCCCCGGCCCCAGCCCCGTCCCCGGCGGGGCGATGCTGCAGCCCCGGCTCCATTCCCGGACCTGCGCGATGAGGCTCCAGCCCCCAGCGCGGTTCCAGCCCCGGAGCCGCGGGGTGAAGCCCCGTCCCGGTCACCGACTCCAGCCCCGTTCCCGGCTCCAGCCCCGTCCCCATCCCGTTCCCGGCGGGGCGAGGCTCCGTTCAGCCGTGACCACATCTCGGCGGTGGCCCGGGCGGCATCTTGGAGTTTCACAAGAGGGGAGGATTCCTGGATATCATCCAAGGGAAATTCCCCCCCACTCATCACCCAGGCACCCTCTCCCTGCCGGTGCCCCGGGAGACGGGGGTGCACACCCACCCGAGGGTCCCCTCCACCCCCACCTCGGGACTCTTGGCTCCGGGACAAGCCCCGTTTCTCGCCGGGGTCCCGCCACGGATCGGGGCCTCCCCGCTTCTTTGCAGGGGGATTGGGAGGGAAATTTGGGACGAGGCCAGAGCTGCTGCATGGAAAGAGCCCGGCGGGTGCAGCTGGGGGGGTCTGGAGGGTGGGAAGAGGATTTTTGGGGATGGGTGGGTCAGTGTGTCAGACGGGCTCTGGAGAGCCAGGGCGGAGGAGGAGATTTGCAGGAGAGACGGAGAAATGGTGCGGGAGAGGGGAGAGGGGCTGGATCGGGAATGTGGAGGTGGCCAAGAGCCACATCCAGGCGTGTGTCACCGGGCCTTGGGAAATTCCCTGCTGACCTGGAGCTCCTAAAAATAGCAGGATGGGGATAGGCACGGGGTTGGAGGACCACAGTGGGATTATCCTGCTGGACCGTGGCCAAGTGCCGGCTCCCACAGAGGTGGTCATGCCGGGGGGTGGTGGAGATTGGCAGGGGGCTTGGCATGTGTGTGGGTTATCTCTGCTTCAAACTCTTCCTGTGTCGTGCTCAGGTGTGCCTGCTCCGCTGCTCCCTGCTCTCGTCCCTCCTCCTCCTGCTGCTCCGCATCCATGAGACGGAGCAGAACAGCTACTGCCAGCAGATCATCACCGAGAGGCACCTGGCCGAGCTGGAGGAGCTGGTGAGTGCCCTCCCGGGGCTGTGCCGGGGCATGGGGGCTCATGTAGGGCCAGATGGGCACAAAGCAGCTCTGCTTTAGTGCTGAAATAAGGAAACGGGGCGATCTTCAGCTCCCCTAGTGAAGCGATGGCACCCAGGAGCTGAGCATCCACGGGCACAAGGGACAAGTGGGCACCGGGGAGTGACAGATGTCGTGCCTTTATCGAGGGTGGCTGTGGAAAAGTGAGGACAGGAGGAACGAGAGAAGAGGGAAGCAGGAGCGAGTCCGGGAAGGGGACAGCAGCGGGGCTGGATGGGCGCAGGGGCGCTGGGGAAGCAGCGGAGGGGCCGCTCTGCGGGCTGTGCTGCTTTCCGGGCGGCTGCGCAGGGGTTAAGCAGAGGAATCCGGCTGCATTCCTGAGTCCAGCTGCTTGCCTGGAAGCTGGGCTGGCAACGGGGCTGTGGGTGGGTGGCAGGCGGCGAGGGGGGCCCGGCCGGCCGATGGAGGCGAGCGGGCCGGGCCATGGGGCCGTCATCCCGCGTGGCCCGTGGGCAGCTCCGGGCGCTGGCAGCCAGCACGGCCAGCCCGGCCCCAGCGGACACGGCTGCCCGGGCCGTGTCTGTCCCTCCGTGGCCCTTGGCTCACCTCCGAGCGGGGAATCACGCGGATGTTCAGGGGAGAAGCGGGAATCGGGGGCACGCAGGGATTTGCAGGGTTGTTGCAGATTAAATTCTGCAGCAAGAGGGGTGTGCGGGCGAATGGGAGCGGCGCCGAGTCCCCGAGAGCTCCGCTGGGTGCGAACCGCCGTGCCCGGGCTCGCTGCGCCTCTTCCTCTTCAACCACCGAGCTGCTCTGGGCGAGCTCGGCTTCCTCTGCCCGAACCCTTTCTGCATCCCCGGGGGATCAAACTGGGAGCGCGGCTGTGGGAGAGAGGGAACGCAGCAGGTTTGAATGGAAGATGGGGTTTTCCTGCTGGGGATTGCAGCCCTCTCCTCGCCGATGGAGGACTGGCCCTCGCTCCAGCGCCTGCTGGATAATGGAGCAATTGTTTCCGGGACGGCATCCCAGGCTAGGAGGAGAAATGCCGGCCGGCAATTCCGCCAGCCCTCGGCCTCTCGGTTTGGGATGCCAGCCCGGAGGGAGAGTTTGCTTAGGGTGGGTTTTTCTCCCACTGGGGACGGTGATGGCGTGGGCGGCCGGCAGCGCTGCGGGTGGGACCCCGGAGAAGTGTGACCCCGGTGTCACGGCCACCCCTGCACGGCAGGATGCTCTTTTGCAGCCTGGATTTAGAGGAGAGAGTGATGCGGGGGGAGAATTCAGCAGGGCTGGGCTCCGCTGTGGCGCTGGCAGGAAGAGGAGGAGGAGGAGGAGGAAGAGAGGCGGGGTGGGAGCAGGCAGGGAAAGGCAGGAGAAGGTCTGTGAAGTGGGGAGTACAACATCCTGATGGGAGCAGGAATCCTGAGCTCACTCCTGCCACTGCATCAATGTTGGGGATGTGCCTGTGTGAGGAGGAGGAATAAGGGATGGGATGAAGCAGGAATGGGAGCAAAGCCCTCCCAGCCCTGTGGATTTGGGGGTCTCAGGCACCCCGTGCCCAAAGCATGGCATATCTGGGGCTGCTCAGCCCCAGCGCTGTCCCTGGGGATGTGGGGTGACATCCTGCTTTGTCCTTCCAGGCTGACACCCAGATGCAGCACCCGGGCAGGGTCTCCTTCAAGTTCATTGACAAGATGCAGTTGGTGAGTGGTTTCTTGCTGGGGAAACTGGGGACAGCAAGCAGGGCTGGCTGGTGGCAGGTCCCCAGATCCCCAGCCTCCCTGTGCAGGAGACAGCCCAGGAGGGACCCATCCTGCTTGGTCTGGTGGCTTCCAATCCCTCTTTGGGAACCCCATGGGATTGTAGAAAGGCATTTTGTGCCTCTGTGCTTCAGCTTCCCCCAGGCAGAGCGGGATGCCCACCCGGTAACCGCTGTCACTTTTTGTCACTGTATCCTTGCAGAACGACTCCATCTGCTATGTGAAAGCTGCCTTCCCCCTGATGGGCAAGATCCTGGAGAGAACGGAGTTCAAGGAGAACTCGTCCAACGCCCGGAAGATGCAGATGGTGCGCAGGATGTACAACAGCATCGATGAGAATGTGGACCCCTGCATCAGGGATGAGGATGATGAGGAGAGAATGGTACAGTGACCCCAGCCTCGTGGGGGTTTGGGCCTGGGTCCTCATCCTGGGGTGAAATGGGGTGTGCAGAGCAGCCTGGGGTGAAATGGGATATGCAGAGTGTCCTGGGGTGAAATGGGATGTGCAGAGCAACCTGGGGTGAAATGGGGTGTCCAGAGCAACCTGGGGTGAAATGGGGTGTCCAGAGCAACCTGGGGTGAAATGGGATGTGCAGAGCAGCCTGGGGTGAAATGGGGTGTCCAGAGCAACCTGGGGTGAGATGGGATGTGCAGAGCATCTTGGGTTGAGATGGGATGTGCAGAGCATCCCAGAGTGAAATGGGGTGTCCAGAGCAACCTGGGGTGAAATGGGATGTGCAGAATGTCCTGGGGTGAAATGGGATGTGCAGAATGTCCTGGGGTGAAATGGGATGTGCAGAGTGTCCCAGGGTGAAATGGGATGTGCAGAGTGTCCCGGGGTGAAATGGGATGTGCAGAGCATCCCAGGGTGAAATGGGGTGTGCAGAGTGTCCCGGGGTGAAATGGGATGTGCAGAATGTTCTGGGGTGAAATGGGATGTGCAGAATGTCCTGGGGTGAGATGCAGAGTGTCCCAGGGTGAAATGGGATGTGCAGAGTGTCCTGGGGTGAGATGGGGTGTGCAGAATGTCCTGGGGTGAAATGGGATGTGCAGAATGTTCTGGGGTGAAATGGGATGTGCAGAATGTTCTGGGGTGGGGTGTGGGCAGGGCTGTGGAGCAGAGCAGAGATGGGGTGTGCATGGAGCCAGCAAATCCTGCCTTGGGAGCACTGTGGTATCTGTGGGGGTGACCCTGGGTGGTCATGGAGCTGATGCTGACCCTGCTGCTTCCTCCAGCTCTCACAGATGTGCTTCAAGGAGTTCACCACGTCCCCCTACGAGATGCTGGTGCTGGTGAAGGATTTCTTCCAGGACATCAAGCGACTGCTGCAGAACCAGGAGACTTTTGAGAAGGATTGCAGCCGAGTGTACCGCAGGGTGTGCCCGGGACCCAGGAAAGCTGGATCCTCACCAGGTGAGATGCCAAGGCTTGGCCTCTGCCCAGTAAAGCTGTGCCAGTCTGGGGAGCTTGGGCTCGCCTGCATGGAGCACCTTAAGAGTCGTGTGTCTGTGGGTGTGGCACGTGTCCACGTTGGCTCCTTTCCCTGTGTCGGCAAGCTCTGCAGCAGTGTCAGGGGAGAAGGGGCTGGCTGCCATGTGAAGGTGGGATTTGAAATCCTGCTGGAAGCAAGATGAGGGAGAGATGCTGAGGGGGAGCGAGGAAGCATCAGGCTCAGCTCTGTCTCAAAGCCCCGATGCCAGGTGGAGCATAACTCTGAGAAACGGAGGGACTGCTGTGCCACCAACACGCTGCATGACCTTGGCTGTGTCACTTCAGCTGCCTCGTGCCTCAGTGTCCCCTGGCCAAGCCTCTGGGGAGAGTGTTGCTGCCGGGGTGGAGGAGCCCCGCGTTGCTGTCTGCGCTTCCACGAGCGCCTGTGCCGTGTTTGCATGGAGGAGATGTCCCACTGTCACCCTCGTGTCGGAGCTGTGCCATGTCCTTGTGCCGTGGGGACGTTAAATGTGGCTCTCTGGCTCCTGCAAGTTGTGAATAACCCACTGCCATTGGCTCAGGGGACCCGGTGACTCGGGTTTGCTTCATCCCACCCGCTGCTTGTCACCCCCTCACGCTGCCCTGCCTGTTCCTTGCCTCTCCCTTGCTCCCCCATTTTTTGAGGGGCTGTTTGACCCGCTTGCCCGGGGCTGCGGGGAGGGACGGGGACAGTGCCCCTGACCTCAGATCTGCTGGCTATGCCCCTCTTGGAGGCTGGTGACCCCACGGCTGTCTCTTCTCTCTCCTTCTTTCAGGTGTGGGGACAGATCCTGACTGCAATTGCCTGTCCCCTGCCCTCCCTCCTGCCACCCAGCCCTCCCTCTCTGCTGCCACTGGCAGGGACACGGCACCCGCTAGCACCCGGCTCCCTTCCAGCCTCCTCCATACCACCCTCGCTGACTTAGAGGCCCCATCTCAGCCCCCCAGTAGCACGGACGGGGGCTCAGGGACCGAGGAGGTCCTGGGTGCCGGGCTAGGTGACCCAGCACTGGCCTTGGCCCCCGGGATGAAGCAGACAGCTCCAGCCAGCAGTGCCGAAGCCCTCCAGGATCCGGCCGGGACGCTGAGCCTGGCCCGGGGCGACATCCCCGTCCTCCGTGGGGATGGCGAGCTGGTGGAGTGGGACACCGGCCACCTGCCGCAGGATCCAGGCCAGCAGTGGGGAGGCTCCCTCCTCCCGGAGCAGCCCGGCGGGCTCAGGACCAGCCCTCCGACAGCATCGCCCAGCGCCGGCCCGACGGGCGGAGGCAGAATCCGTGCCCAGCCCGAGCCTGGCACGCAGCTCCGCTTCTCCAGGATGGCCCCGGAGCTGCCAGCCCCGGGCAGCCCCAGCCACAGGGCGAGGGCGTGGGGCTGGGGGCCCGAGGATGGCGGTGGGGCCGGGCCCAGCTTTGACTCTGGCTTTGTTCTGGGCGCAGAGCAGCGCAGGAAGGAGCCGCCCGCCAGCGAGGGCCGCCAGGAGCCCCTCATCTACATTACGGTGGCCAGCGTGGTGGCCGTCCTGCTGGCCACGGGAGGGCTGCTCTTCTACAAGTATAAATCCAGGGTAAGATCCCCTCCTCGTCTCCTCCCCGGCCACCACGATTGTCTCCTGCCTCAGTTTCCCCACTTGTCTCTTGGCCAGTGTGGGTTGAGCCCCATTTTCCCCATAATTTTGAGACTGGGGCGCAATTAGTTGGTGGTGCTGAGAGGATGTTATTTGGGAGATTTGCCACCCTGCAGGCTGCTCCCCTTGCCGGGGCTCATCTCCCCCTTTCCCTCCCTCCCCACAGGTCCTGGAGCGGTCACTGGAGGATGGAGGCTGTGACCCCGACGAGCCAGAGAGGAGGTGAGTGTGACAGCATCCTGCATGGGGGGGTTTGGGGACCCCCACCCTGGGCAGCCCTGCTCTAACACCCCCATCTTTCTGTCGCAGGGCGCTGCAGGGAGCAAGGGAATGTTCAGAGCTGGAGACTCAGGATCTCTGAGGTGATCAGGGGCTGGCTGGGACCTTGAAGGGCTGCGGTCCAAGCTGTGAGGACAATATGGTGTCCCTGGTTGGTGCCGACCTTGGCCATGGGCAGGGAAACTCTGGGTGGGAGGACACGGACAGGAGCAGGTCTGCGCCCCAGCGCTGCCAGCATGTGGTTTTGCAGCTCGTTAATCCATTACTGGCACTTTCTTAATATACATAGTATTTTTTCCTGTGGTTTTCGTGTGTTTCACCCCACGCTGCCCTCCCTGGCAGAGCCCCAGCTCCTGCTCATCTCTCTCCTCCTTTTCCCAGGGCCCCAGGCAGGATGTGAAGCTGCTCGGGGGACGGATCCGGATGGAAGGAGGGGTGGCACGCGCCAGCCTTGCCGCGATCCCACCGTGATGCTGACACTCCCTCTTCCCTTGCCCCGTGCCCACGGCCAGAGACTGCAAAAAACCTCCCTGGCAGGGACAAAAGGATGGGGGGATGTGCCCTGAGTGGGACCCCCGGCACCGGGAAGTGAAGGGCTGGAAGGAGTCGGGACCATGAGCACAGGCTTTGCAGCGGGGGCCGGTGCGACGCTGCGGTGCTGAGCAGGACCGTGGAGGTGCTGGATGTGGGATGATGGAAGCAGATCCCACTTGGACACGGCCAGAGCTGGATGAAGATAGATGGGATCGGCTCCCCAAATCCTCGGGCTTTTCTCCCATCCCAGCAGACTGGCTTTGGAGCAGCACCCATCGCATCCTTCACCCTGCCTTTCCTGAGGCTTCAACTGGAGCATCCTGAATTCCAGGGGGGCCCGTCCTGAGACCCCCAGCCCTGATTTGCAACTCAAACCCTCACACTGTGAATATTTAAAGCCCACCCGTGCCCATGTCCCTGCACGGGGCTGGGTTTGGGGTGACCCTTGGCGCCATCCCAGTCCCTCCCCATCCTCCTGTTGTTAGGGCTCATTTTTATTTTTGTTTTTTGTAGAGTGAGAGTGGATGAAAGTCTTTATCCTGCACAAGTGTTCTGGGGGGCCGTGTGCCCCTCACAGGGTCCTCGCCGCGAGCTGGCCTCGCTGGGATTCCATTTCTTTGGTGGCTGCGCTTTGGAGAAGGGAATGGGGCTGGGAAGGATGGGATCCACGTGGGTGTAAGAGCTGGAACTGCCCCCACCGGTCACCCTGGGGCTTCTTGGCACTGCCCCACTCCCGGGCTTTGGGAAGAGCCTGGTTTGGGATGCACCAGCCCTGGAGATGCCCCAAAATCCAACGGCTCCCTCCATCCAGCCCTGGATGAAGCGTGGCCCGCGCTGCTCTGGGAGTTTCAAGCATTATTTTTATATGAAGGATGAAAATATGGACAAACCCAACTGTTTTTAAAGAAAGCATCACTATTAATTTGGGGTTTTATTGTGTGTATTTATGACTGGCAGAAGGAGGGGGTTCCTGGGCGAGGGACTGGTGTAAATCAGGATAAAAGCCCTGATGCAGCAGGAAGTCTGGGGCCAAACTCCTGGTGGTGTAAGTCACCAGTTTACACTGTGGAGGAGCTGCTCCTGGGGGAGAAAACTTGCCTTTACCCATGTTGGAGTTATTTTGCCTTTTTTTTTGTTGTTGTTGTTGTTTGGTTGGGGCTTTTTGTTGGTTTTGGGATGTCTTTTTTTTTTTATACAATGAAATCCTGAAATATTTTATACAAAGGCATTTAAAAGTCTATTTAAAGAAAATAATGGAAAACAACTTGTATATTTAATATTATTAATAAACAGAGAGGTGTAGCTTGGTGTAAGTCTGGGATGCAAGGGGGGACTGGAGATTGTGGCTCTCCTGTCACATCCCTGGGGTCCCTGAGGGGGTGACTGGGGCTGAGTGCTGGTGGTGTTACCCTGACCTGCTTCCCTGGGGATGCGTGTGGGAGTTCGTGGCCACTGGAATGAGGGCAGAGGGATTCATGTGCCCTTCCTGCCCCAGCTCTGCCGGCACTGAGAGCTCCAGTCACCGGCTCTGGAGCTGTGCCCCCCCCAAAATCTGTGTGAATGGTTGGGAAGCAGCTGCTTAAAGCAAACACACTTGAGGCAAAGTTTCCTGGAGCACTTTGCTTAGAGTGACAGCACTGAAGAGGCATTTCCTCCCCCCCACCGCTCTCCCTGCTTTCCTTCCTTCTTTCCAGGAGCAGGGGAGCCCCATACCTGCTCCCCCTGCACAGATCCAGCATCTCCAGGGGGATGCCAGGGGGCTCCCCATCCCCCTGGGTCCCTTTCAGCCCATGGGGTGTGCAGGGTGAACAGGCCCACTGCTCATCCAAGGGGGTGGCAAGGGCAGGAGGGGGTCTGGAGCTTTCTGTGAGTGCCAGGGCTGAGCTGCTGCCTTGTTTGCTGACAAACAGGATTCCTCGAGGGGAGCTGACTCAGCCCAGCCCTTCCTCTCCCCAGCAGCAGCCGGGGGTTTCCCAGGTCCACATCCCCTTCCCAGGGAAGTGGGACCTATATATATCCTGCTGGAGCCGTGCCACGGTCATTATGGTCAGATTTGGGGGGTGTTTGAGGCTGGAGGCTGCTCTTAGGGGTGGGCACCGTGCCCGGGTCTGGGGGTGCTGAGGGCAGCGTGTCCCTGGCCTGCTCCAGGATGCTCCAGGATGCTCCAGGATGCTCCAGGGTGCACCAGGCAGCTCCACAGCTGCACGGGAGAGGGTGGCTGGAGCTGGATGAAGGCAGCCTGAAGCTAAGGCAGAGCTGGGGGGCAGAGCTGGGAGCATCCCAGGCTGCTGGGTGGTGTGGGGAGCACCAGTCCCCACCCCTCTGTACTTACACCCCGCACTCGCTCATCCCTGACTTTTTCTGGCTGCTCTGTGTGCTGTAAAAGCATCTGGAAAATGCAGGAAAAAAGCCAAACTGCCTCCCTGCCCTCAGGTTCGGGCCAGGAGGGTCCCTGTGCTCCTCGTGCTGCTGGCTGGTGCCTTTTCCCCACCCTGTGTGGGAGCAGGGATGTGATTCCCTGCCCTGGGCACCTTCCACCCCCAGCCCCTGCAATCTGGGGGGCAAAACCAGCTCTCAGCCCCCCACTCAGGAACCCCATGGAGCTGCATCCCTGTCCCTCAGCACTCGAAGGGGAGGGGAGAAAAGAACCCCCCATCCCTCCTGGGGTCCCAAATGGGTGTTTGTACTGCAAAAAGGTGCTTTGATGGGACGAGAACAGGGAGTTTGGGGGAAAAGACGGATGGTGGGAGGGGAAAGCATTGACAAGAGGCTCAGGGGCCCTGAAGCACGGGCTGGCATGGAGTGGCACTGACTATGGTCACCAGCGCCCACCTCGGGGGTCCTGAGGGTCCCCACAGCCCTGCTGCTTGTGGCATTGGCAGGGCTGGGACATCTCAGGCTCATCCCATTGTCCTAAAACCTCCCAAGCACTCAGAGACCCCCCCAGCTGCCCTGAGACCCCTCCCGAGAGCCCCCGGAGAGCTCTGCCCACCCTGGAAGCCTCCCCAGAGCCACCGCAGAGCTGCTGACGGGGCAGAAGCAGCGGAAAGGCCCCGGGGCTGCGGTTCCCGGGGCACGGCGGCTCCGGGACACGGTTTTGGCCGAGGAGCTGCTGCAGGATTTAGGTGGCCAGAGGCCGTTTTGTGGCCAGACAAAGTGATTTTGGTTAAAAACCGTTATCTGCTCTTTCCCCTGGGGATTTTAACCCACAGGCTGATTTTTTTTTTCCCAGCTTGTATTTTAAGGGAGCAGCCCCGGGGAAGTGAAGGCGGGCAGGGCTCACACCCCTCCCCGCTGCCTGGGGGCGTTTGGGGATGGGGGGCCCGAAACCAGAGCCCCCAGAGCCCCCAGAGCCCCCCCCAGAGCCCCCCGCCTGTCTGCCTGTCCTGGAACGGTCCCTAGAGCCCGTGTGGGGACTCTGTGGAGCCGGGGACCACAAAAAGTGCTGGATGGACACCCACAGCTCCGGGACACCCACAGCTCCGGGACCTGGAGAGGGACACCCACAGCTCCGGGACCTCGGGATGGACACCCACAGCTCTGGGATCTGGGGATGGACACCCACACCTCTGGGACCTGGGGATGGACACCCACAGCTCCGGGACCTGGGGATGGACACCTCTGGGACCTGGGGATGGACACCCACACCTCTGGGACCTGGGGATGGACACCCACAGCTCCAGGACCGGACACACTCCTTGATGTTCTTATTTTTACCCCTATTTTATTCAAGCTATTTTCCTGATTCATCGTGTTTCTTCTCCTGCTTTACGTCTTCCCTCTGAACAAATATAAATTTTTTTGCCCTGAAAACCCTCATTCTTTAATTTCAGCTTTAATTTTTCAAATTAATTAATAAATTAATTTATGTAACTTACTTAGTTTCTATACTTATTTAGAAAAATTGTATATAAATTAATATAATTTATGTAATACATTTACATAATTATGTTATTTAATATAAATTCATGCACGCCATATGTATATGCACAAAATTAATCTATATAAATTTTATAGCTTTATAATCACTTATAAATGTAAATGTATATAGCTTATAAATATAAATAAATTAACATGTTTTACACATTTATATATAATTAATATTTAATTTGTGTGGTTGCTATTTAATGCATAAAATTAATCTTAATAATTTTTTCATTTAGTCTAAGTAAGGAATTCAATTAGTTTTAATTTAAAAACGAATTAAAAACTATTTTAACTAAAAAACTAATTAATATGTATATATAATTAGTTATTAATTAGATGAATGAATTAATGATGAGTTGATGATACATTAATTATATGAATTATATATTAATTACACAATAATTATATAATTATATATTACATAATATTACGTATTATATGATATTATATATTATAGACATTTATATGCAATTTTATTTAAATTATATAATTATTGTAGCTAATTGGGATTTGGCCGGCGCCGAGGTTCCTGGCCACGCCCCCTCACTGTGACCACGCCCCCATTGTGACCACGCCCCTCACAGTGACCACGCCCCTCGCGGTGACCACGCCCCCGTCTGGCCCCGCCCCCGTTCCCGCCCCTCAGCGCCCTCCCCTCCGTGTCCGCCAGGGGGCGCCCCGCCCCTCGCCCGCTCCCCCGGCGGCAGCCCGACGGATGACGTCACGCCGCCGTGACGTCACGAGGCCCCGCCCCTGGCGCGCCGGCCGCAGACCCGCCGCAGGCAGCGAGAGAGAGAGCGGGACCGGCCGGGCCCAACCGAACCGAACCGGGCCGGGCCGGGCCAGAGCTAGAGCCGGACCGAACTGAACTGAACCCAACCGAACCAAACCACACCGGGCTGGGCCGGGCCAGAGCCAGAGCCGAGCCAAACCAAACCAAACCGGGCCGAGCCGAGCCACAGCCGGGCCGAGCCGAGCCAGACCGAACTGAACCAAACCACACGGAGCTGGGCCGGGCCAGAGCCAGAGCCGAGCCAAACCAAACCAAACCGGGCCGAGCCGGGCCGAGCCGAGCCAGAGCCGGGCCGAGCCGAGCCAGAGCCGGGCCGAGCCGAGCCAGAGCCGGGCCGAGCCGAGCCAGAGCCAGAGCCGAGCCAAACCAAACCAAACCAAACCGGGCCGAGCCGAGCCACAGCCGGGCCGAGCCGAGCCACAGCCGGGCCGAGCCGAGCCAGAGCCGGGCCGAGCCGAGCCAGGCCGGGCCGAGCCGAGCCCGCAGTAGTGCTCCCGGCCCCCCCGCCGGCCCGTGCCCCGTCTGGTCCCGCCGGCGGCCGCGGCCCGCCCCCGTTCCCCGCCGCAGCAGGATGTCGGTGCCGGAGCCCGCCGGCGGCGAGGAGAAGCAGGCCAAGGAGGTGGAGGACGCCGAGAAGTATTCCTTCATGGCCACCGTCACCAAGGCCCCCAAGAAGGTAGCGGGGCCGGGATCACGGGCTGTGGGGGCGCAGGGAGCAGCCGTGTCCCGGTGGGGCGAGCAGCCCGTGCCTCACGGGGAGCGGCTCCCGGTAGCGGGGAGAGCGCCCCGGTCTGCGGCGGGACTGGCCTGGCGGGGGATGCAGCCTTTGGTTGTGGGGGGGAACAGCCCTCGATTGTGGGGAGCAGCCTTTGGTTGTGGGGAGCACCTCTCGATTGTGGGGAACAGCCTTTGGTTGTGGGGAGCAGCCCTCGATTGTGGGGAGCAGCAGCCTTTGGTTGTGGGGAGCAGCCCTCGATTGTGGGGGGGAGCAGCCTTTGGTTGTGGGGAGCACCCTTCGATTGTGGGGAGCAGCCTTTGGTTGTGGGGAGCACCTCTCGATTGTGGGGAACAGCCTTTGGTTGTGGGGAGCAGCCCTCGATTGTGGGGAGCAGCAGCCTTTGGTTGTGGGGAGCACCCTTCGATTGTGGGGGGGAGCAGCAACCTTGGTTGTGGGGAGCAGCCCCCGGTTGTGGGGAGCACCCCTCGATTGTGGGGAGCACCCCTCGATTGTGGGGAGCAGCAGCCTTTGGTTGTGGGGAGCAGCCCCCGGTTGTGGGGAGCACCCCTCGATTGTGGGGAGCAGCAGCCTTTGGTTGTGGGGAGCAGCAGCCTTTGGTTGTGGGGAGCAGCCTTTGGTTGTGGGGAGCAGCCCCCGGTTGTGGGGGGGACACGACCGTGCCCCGGCTCTGGGAGGAGCGGCCCCACAGGTGTGGGGCTGTGCTGGAAGGCTGGAAGTGACCCAGTTTGACGGTAACTGGGAAGTGGGGCTTGTCCCCATTCAGTGGCAGAGAGGGACACTGGTGAGGGGGCTGGGGGGTGGCAGGTATGGCCCAGGGGGCTGCTGGCCCAGTTTGGGGTGGGAGGGAAGGACCA